ATTTGGCTTTTAACAAATAATATCAAATCTAAGAAAACTCCAAAATCAAATACCTTAAACATTCGATTTATTTCAAAGTATAAGTCCAAATTTTTCTAAGAGAAGTCATTGTTCATTCAAATTTTCAATTCAAACAACAAACGCTCATCAATTATAAAGCCAAAAAATTTCAAACATTACATCTTTATGCATATTCAAAAGTTTAAATAATAAACCTATTAAACTACGAATCTTAGATTTTCAAAAGATTGTAACTTTTGTTCAAAAACCAAAAGTTACTGCCAGAGAACAAAAATAACACTACATAACTAATAGAAAATACATAATATTGAACCAACATTCAAAAAAATAATAAACTTTATGCCAAAAGACAATAAAACAAAACTTTTCATGATTCATCCTAAATAAAAATCATAAAACTTTATTCCTTCGTGATTCAATATGATGATGGCTCTTATACCAATTCTTGGAATATTAATTCCTCTTAACCTTATAGTGATAACCATTACCAACAAACCAAGATCCATCATACCAAATCATAAAGGAATATTAACAGAAAGGTGGAGGTATAATTGTCTCCATAGTAGCGAAATAACTTTGATCTTCACCTTTTGGGATATGCGATTGTCTTTAATCAAATAGTCCTAATCCTTATTCTTTAGTATGATCTTCTCATTTGGGGTATGCGATCTTCCTCAGTCAAATAAACCTAATCATTATTATTTAGTATGTTGTCTCTCTCTTGATAGGGAAGAGAAATTAGGGTTGTTATTTGACATATTGGGGACTATAACCATTTTATAGTATTTTTTTATTGTTGCGCCAGTAAGCTCCCATTATACCTAGTTGGCCTAACGCTGGCTTTCACTCATTTATCCCATACTTACTTAGGAATCTATTTGGGTATTTTTATTTGATCACTATAATTTACCCAATATATATTAAATAATATAATATAATTATTAATATAATATGTAGCCCACAAACACATTAGGAAATATAATTTCCTAACAAAGTTATTTTTATTTTTTTGGATAAACCACAGATATGCTTCACGGAAGGCAATCCTATTCGGGGGGATTCAAAATTAAGGCTTTAAACTCCTCCCGAAGATGATACTGGGGAGTATCAAACATATGCTCTTACCCCACCTGCTTAGCTCTCGTACGCCAATTGAGCTATCATCATTTGGTATGTGAAGTGAAGTTATTATTAATATTCTCGGAAAATAATCTCTTCCTCTAAAGTTTTCAAGTACATAGTAGTTTATATTAGTATGTCAAATTTAAAAGAGAAATAGATATTGCAGCAAAAATGATAAATCATAAAATAGGCATTAAATTTTAATTGAATGATCAATTTTGATTCATTCCATATTTCTGCAATGAACCACAAATTCTTTACCCTATAATCACATAAAAATTTAGAAGCGTGAATTTGGTTATTAACTTATTATAGAAACTTCATCAAAGATTGTTGATGTATAATTCTACATACTCAATGATAAATTCATATTAATAAATTGAAATTCATGGCAATCATAATCAAGATCAAACCAGATCTATACAATTCTAGATAAGAGTAAAGGCTCGTGATAAAACCAAAGTTTTCAAGATTCTAAAGATTGACTACAAAGATCATGACCTTCCATGAAGGAGAAAGAAAGAGAGAAATGGAAATAAAGAAAAAAAAACTTAGAAAAAACTGCAAATAGTACTTATTTATTTTTCAAAAGCTACAAATAGTAACTTGGAAAAAAATCCTTACTTTTTCCCCTTATTCTGGGATTGTGGCCTTGAAATAAATATGGAGCCCACTTGTAAAAGTCTTCACCATAAAAAAATATCACAAGTTGACAGTTAACAAAGTTACCCTGCATCTCAGCTATGTTACTTTTGCATCTCAACAAGCACCTTCTGCAATCTATGCAAAGCTTATCTCAAGTCACCTACTCAAGAACCAATTAGAAAGCTTGCTGCCTCACCCATTGAAAGCAACTTGCAGGGACATCTCCCAAAGCTGGTCATTTCTATAATAGAAGACAATCGATGATATATAAAATCACTGAGAGATTTGAACCCGTGTATGGAACCAGATATATTAATTAATGGTATAAGCAAAGTGCAATAAAATTAAAGAACGAACTAACTTGATTTAGAAGTAGAAGTATGCAAAAAATGATGAAAAATTCGAGCCCAACAGAAGTTGCCTCCTTAAGATAATTTGTTCCCTCATTATTGATGCTAAAGGTTGATAAACACTTGTCTCCCATGATAGAACGCATTTGCGTCTCAAGAATGATGGCAACAATCAATCAAAAGCCCAAACAAACACAATTGGATGTCTGAGGAATCATACCATGTATGATATAGATGCATGCATGCACGAACGAAGTAAAAATTCGGCAGAGTAACAATGTAAAAAACTAGATGAATTTCTGTTGGGTTTAACGTCTATATATAGACACTGAATGGACAAGATGAATCGCTGCCATCGGCGACCGAGACGAGCCGAGCAGTGACAACGACACGCGTGTATTGTGGACCTAGGCCCACCTAAGTCCTATCTCCTCCACAAAATATGGAATGCCCCGAGGGGCATTCTAGGAGTGTGAGATGGGAGCTTATAAACCTTTTGCGGTAAGTGGGAGATACATATAAGGTTTTATATCTCTTCGATAAAATGTGGAGGACAAGAGAACATTTTGCAGCTGAGAGAAATTTTGCAGCTGAGACATATAAGTATTCATTTTATAAGTCATCTCACACTCCTAGAGCTTATATTTATAGGGTTTATATCTCTTCTGCGGCAGGAGTAGAGAGCATATTGCAACTGAGAGAAATTTAGTGGGCCCCACCAAGTTAAATGAAAAAAAGGGGCACATTTTTTGATCTGAGAGTAGCAAGAGAAGTTGATTTTTGCAGTGAAAAGAGAAGATATATATCCTTATATATATAGGCAAAATCACTTTTCCTTTCAACGCAGAAGAAATCCTCTGCAGCCACCAATTACAACTATGTCTTATGGGTAAGACATAGTTGTAATTTTAAAAACTATTTTTTTCTCTCTATCCTCAAAAGGTTGTTGGCTGACGTAGCAAAGAGTAAGTAATTGTAATATTACAATTATTTATCACCGGTAAGACATAGTTTTAATTGATGGCTGTAGAGGATTTCTTCTACTGTGAAAGGAGAAGTTGGGGACCATATATATATATATATATATATATAGGGTTAAGTGTGCGTCCTTTTAGTTTTTTACACTATGTACTACTAGTAATATATAGTTATAATATGAAAAATTATTTTTTTCTCTCTCCACGTCAGCTGAAGTGACTGAGAAGAGAAAAAAGAGAATAATTTTTCATATTATAACTATGTACTACCCGTAGTAAATAGTATTAAAAATTAAAAAGACACAACTTGTATCCTTTAAAAAGACAAACTTTTTTCCCATATATACGTGGAATGTTATATTTACAAACTTGTTGTTCGCAAATTCTTACAAACTACACTATGTCTTACCGGTAAAACACTCTTGAGTGGAGTCTTACCAGTAAGACATAATGCAATTTGTCAGTTTGTAAAAATAAAGTTTGTCAATATAACCCTTATATGTGTGTGTGTATATATATATATATATATATATATAGGAAAAAATATTTCTACACTCACTTTAGATAAGGTTATTTACAGCTCCCTTTTTAACTAAGTATGACCGGTCATACATAGTTATAACAATAAAGCTATTCTTTTTTTCTCTCTCCTATTCAATTTTTATATATGACCGGTCATACTTAGTTAAAAATGGGTAACTGTAGACAACCTTATCTAAAGTGGTTGTAGAAATATTTTTCCTATATAGGGCTTAACATTTCTGCAGCTGCCGTAGATAGTGTTATCTACAGCTGACACAAAAAAGTGGGCCCTACGGCTTTAAAAAAAAAAAAAAAAACTCAGGATCCGATGCCGTATCCTAGGATCCGGACGTGGATCCTTGCTTGCTGTAGGTACAGCAGCTGCAGAAATCATTTTGCCATATATATATATATATAAAGTATGACCGGTCATACACTCTTGATTGAAGTATGACCGGTTATACTTAGTGTAGTTTGTAAATAAAAAGTTTGTAAAGAGTTTGTAATAGTTTTTTTCATGCAGTAGGAGATACGTATTATCTCCTATTGACTCATTTACGCAAGTGGGGTCCACTTTCAGTGGGAGAGAAAAAAAAATAAAGTGAAACCCATTTTGAATTTGTGTGTGTAGGAGATAGATTCTATTTTATGTAACATAAGAATAATAAATCCCTATATATATATATATATATATATATATATATATATATATATATATATATATTTCTACAGTCACTTTAGATAAGTTTGTCTACAGCTATCCCTTTTCATATCCCCAGTGCCACTTTTGGGAGGGGTTTAAAGTCTTAATCCTGGACCCGCCCCAAATCGGATTAGTTGCGAAACAATGAACCGATTGGAATATTTTCAAAAAAAAAAATACTTTTTCTTATATATATATATATATATATATATATATATATATATAAAAGAAAAAATGTACGAGTAAAAAAGACCAGAGTACTATGTTTCTTGAAGCTTCTCATACTCTTTCGCACTATGCCATTGTTCGTGCCGGCAGATTTCCCGCCAAATTTGTCTTAGAATATCCTCCAGCATATTATCTTGTTTTCATCGAATTCTTCTTTCTGGCCCAATCAAACTAGAGAGACAAACATGAACACTTGTGTCGTTGCTGACACAAATTTGGAAAGGGAAACAGGAACCTTCTGCTGTCTTGAAATCATTGGACACTCAGTCTCAATCTTCGATTATCATATCATGTTATGTACTTTTCTGCATCACCCCATTTCCTCTCAAATTCCAAGCTTAAAACTACGAATCCATATACCTCACAAGGTGTCAAAGATGCTTATGATTCGAAATTGAAATACCCTTTTGTGGGTTTTGCTTAGTTATGAGCATGGACAACCCTGGTTCCTCGTCTTACATTGTAGTTGCATGTGATGCCACGAGAGATCGCAATGAGCATGAGATCAAGCTTGTCGTTGATCACCTTCGAAGCAGGGATGGCATTCTCTCTGCAGGTGACAGCTTGCTTGTGCTCGGTGTCTTGCATAAGGTGCCTCATCCAAGTAAGTATATATAGGAAAAGATTTTTCAATGTGTCTTAATTAGAAGCATTGCACATTTTGTTGAAATTCTTTGATTTATTTTACTCTTTGTTAGTTGTTTTATTTGGTTCTTTGTCAGAGAATTTTAATGCTAATTTTACTTTACATAACATGTGTTTACACTAAAGTATTTTCTAGAAATTTCATGAAGGTTTTTTTAATCATTGTGAGCTAGAGATTTAAATTGAAGATCAGTCAATGCGTTGAAAAATTGCCTTTTTACTTATTGAATGGAGGGAAAGTTAGTATTTTATAGATTTTTAATTTCCTTCATTTTTTCTCTTCATTCTTTGGATTAACAGTGGGGTATCAGTTATTAGCATCCCCGGAGTCCTTTACTGGCACCAACATTCGTGCAATGGAGGAAGAAGTTAACAAGAAAGTTGATGCATATAAAAGTGTGCTTCTCCCTAGTTACGAAGAATTTGAAAATAATGGGGTAATTTAAGTTCTAATTAAATTTCTTTTTTGCAAATATCATATATGCCATACTACTATAACCAATACCCCATGCTTATTCATGCAGATGACAAACACGGTAACTCTGCAACTGTTATTGCATGACACATTACCATTACAGCATACACTTTTATAGCTTTTTTGTTTAGCTCATTCATTATGTGATATCGATTTTGATGTTGATAATTATATCATAGTTCTGCTATCACAGTGATAAATGTCCATCATTCTAATAATAAATTTATGTCCAGGTTAGCATCGAAGTTAAAGTCACTGCCGGTTTTCCAATTCGACAGGTTGTTTTACAAGAGGTTACAAGCTGTAATGCATCTTGGGTAATTCTTGATAGGTATTACTTTCACCATACTTGAAAATGATCACTATCTTTTACATTTGACAGTAGTTCTGTGATTTGTCTAGCTTTGATTAATCAAAATGTGGAAAAAATTATTAGTACTCTACCCAGTGCAGCACATACCAAAGTTAAAAAAACATTACTCAGCTAACTGCATTTAGTGCATAAAATTTTTTATTGTTAATATAAGTCTCATTTATTTGTAATTTTAGTAAAGAAATATGTGTACTACAGGAGTACTGAATTAGGTTAAGTCAATCCAGAGCATACTTATTGCCTTGTAACGAAATTTCTTCTCATCTGATACGGAAAATTTTAACCTTTTTGATAATCAGAACAAAACATGCTATCAGCTATTAAGTGGTTTTAAGTTTCCAGTCAATTTTTGTATAATTTTCATTTATCAATGAAAATAAATATCTCAAGATGGTTTAAGCTATAAGAATAAGATAACATAAACTAAACAAGCAGCTTTAGAGTTTAGACAATACCTGTACTGTACTAGAGTAGTGGATAAGATGGATGTTCAATCCAAAAGGAAATGGTTTGTTATGAAGGTCGAAACACAGCCACTGCAGGTTACTGGTATATGGAATTAGGCCTCAAATAGAGTGATAGAGGGTGGCCACAAAGGTCATCTTCTCATCATCTCATGTGTGAGTGGGTGTTTTATAGTTTGTTAGAAATATTTCAGAGAATTGGATGATTGGTGCGAGAACTGTTAGAGATCATGGACTTAATCATTGTAGTATGCATTATGTAAGTGATAGAGACAATTTGTCCTGAGGTTGGATTGAGTGCTAAGACACCTATTTAACAATAGCATTGCAGTAATCCTTGTTTACATCATTGTCATATTGATCGATCGCAACAATAACTAGCCTCAAATCCAAACATGAAGAGTCAGCTGCAAGAACTTTGAATCAAAATATTCAGAACTCACTAGGTTTATTCTATTTTGCCATTCTATATCATGTACTCCTTTTGAATTCACATGCTTCTACTTTCCTTAGGTTCTTTCATATATTTCTCCTAATGATTTTTAATTGTAACCGGAAATTTTGAGCAGGCATCTTCGGCGTGATTTGAGATTTTATAAGAACAAGATATCATGTAAGGTTGCGTTGGTTAAAGATGACTTGTCTGTGGATATTTGGAGATCTCATCATACACATGAAACGGATGTCACAGAACAAAAACTTATCTATTCTTTGTCAAAGTGTGTTTCACTATCAGATTGTCATAGTGTCGAAGATGTGGATCAATCTATTATCTTTTGCAAAGGTTATCCCGTTTCCACAACTTCTTCTGACAGCTCTAGTATGTTTAAGAGCACTAGCAGTACGAAATACTCAAGTTTTAGCAGGTCAGGGGAGAATAGTTCTTCAATAGATATTGGATCTTCCTCAGGTCAGGAATCTCTTTGAATTTTACACTATATATACATACATATTACTCATTTTCAATCTGTCCTGTGAAATCTTGTGCTTTCTGCATGCAAGCCTCTCTCTTAACAGTATTAGTTTATTGTGTTAGGAAGTGAGCATCTTTTTTAGGTTTTTTCTTGGAAAAGATCAGCGTGATATATTCCTTTCACAAGGGTATAACGTGAACTAATCACATTCCTTGTTGTGCAATGTTACATTTATTTATTTTGCACCAGTAATTTTATTGTATGTTGGAAATTGAAATGAACTTGATACATTCAATCACTTATTATTCATATATCTATACATTCATGTACATGTACTTAGTCGATGCATTATGTAATATGAAGTTAAGTTCATTATAAGAGTTAATAAGAGATATAATGTGTACTTATAAACAGAGTAGTTAAACGTGGCATGTAGCAGCCATGGCAGCTCCTACACAACACAACAGAGCATTTCAGATTCATTAGTTATACTAATGAAAATATTGATATGGCATAACAATAGATAGATATAAATAATAGGAAGATATGGCATTTCAGAATGTTGCTTCCTTTTTTGTTCTTTTTTTCAACCATAAGTGAAAACTCTAATTAAACAAAGTGATTAAAAATTTAGGTAGAAATTAACTGAATTCCTTCATTTTAAAGTTGAAATGGTATTCCATTAAATGTCCAATAGTCTGCGGGCACTATGATTAACTCTTATTTTGTATTCTAATAAGTTCTTTGTACTAAATATTAGTTTGAACTATCTTTCAGGCATAAGCATAAAAGGAGAATATGATCATCCCATTATTTCTCATATTTTCCAAAAGCAAAACAAATATGGGTTTCTACCAAATTCTTCAGATGCTCCAGTTCTTTGTACTGGTTGTGGGACAAGGACTGAATTATATACCAAGGAGTTATCGAGGTTTAGCTATTCTGATATACAACTTGCAACAAATGATTTTTCAAAGGATAACTTAATAGGTGAAGGTGGATATGGCCACGTATACAAGGGGATGCTTAAAGATGGACAACAAATAGCAGCAAAGGTAAGGAAAGAAGAGAGCAAACAAGGGTTTTCTGAATTCCATTCTGAGGTTTACGTCTTGAGTTTTGCCCGACACAAGAATATAGTGATGCTTTTGGGTTACTGTTGCAAAGAAAGGCTAAATATTCTAGTATATGAATATATTTGCAATAAGTCTCTTGAATGGTATTTATTCGGTAAGTACCTATAGTTTTTGCATTGCTTTTATTTATTTTTGAGCAGGGAAAAGTGTTTGTCATTTTAAATAACATGACACTCTGTTCTTTAAAGAGAGAGACAGACACATAGAAACAAATTTTATTTAAATTTTAAATTAAAAAAACCACTCACTTTCTCTCTCCTATGATTTTCATTTTTCTGTGTCTATCTCTTTCCTAAAATGATATAACTTATTATGTATCTTGGTCATTTTAGGTCGCAATTTTTTTTTTCCAGCAAGATTTAGATTTTATGAATCTGGGGAAATATATTTGTAGATAAAAATGATGGGGTTCTTGAGTGGCACCATAGATATGCTATTGCCATTGGAACTGCAAAAGGATTGCGTTTTCTACATGAGGATTGTCGTGGAGGTCCTATTATTCATCGGGACGTGAGACCAAGCAATATACTACTCACTCATGATTTTGTTCCCATGGTAAAATAAAACAGCATGCTTCATTGTCTCTTTCGGTAATTGATGAGACTATTATACCAATTCCATTTACTTGGTAACATTAAAAGAGGATAGGTGTTGTTAATTAAGTGATGCTCATAAAAATGCAGCTAGGTGATTTTGGCCTTGCAAAATGGAAGACTAGTGATAAGACTCTTCACACAAGGATAATGGGCACATTAGGGTGAGGATTTGTTCAAGCCTTTTTATTACTAGCATGCCAAATTAATAATAAGCAAGCTCTCTCTCTCTCTCTATTTTTCCCTCTCTCAAAATGTCTTTTTATGTAGATACCTTGCTCCTGAGTATGCTGAAGATGGTATTGTTTCTGTGAGGATAGATGTGTATGCTTATGGCATTGTTCTGTTACAATTGATATCAGGACGCAAAGCCAATTCTAGTCCAGATCAACAACTCTCCCTACGACAATGGGTATATTCTTCTATCATTAATTATGTCTTAGATATTTGTAAATTTTTTACATGTTCTTAGCTTATCCTCACTAGATTTCAACTTGACTTTTTTAATAATATTACAAACTCAAATTTTAGGCTGAGCCAAGGATTGAGAAGTTAGCATTTCACGAACTCATTGACTCTCGTCTTGGGGAGTCATATAACTCGAATGAGCTATACCTTATGGCGAAAGCAGCATACTACTGTGTGCAAAGAAATCATGAGAAGCGCCCATCAATCGGAGAGGTAATTGGATCGGACTACAATACTAGTGGCCTTTACTTTGTATAGTTTAATTGGTGGTGCTTGTTGCATTATGTGTTGACATGGTTTATCAAATTACTATAACTTTCTTTAATATTAAGGCTAACTTATAATTTTCAATATTAGTGGCAGCTCCCTTTAAATGATTGTATTGCACTCTTCTGTCAAAGTCATAGTCTCATCTATTACCAACTGGGCAAAAATCTGAACCGAAAGATTCATTCATCATTGCATTGCATCAGCCAAAGTACAGTGGTGAAATATATACAAAGAAGAAAGCCTAAAAAAGGGGCAACATAGAATGCCATTATAACAAACTTGGTGACGTGACACTAAAGCTATGATATGCCACAAAAAATTGATACTTACATAAAGAATAAAATGAAGAAAAAAATAGTGTGCAAGTGTGTGTATATTTTAACACTCCCCTCAGATGGAGAGTGAATGTTGAGAACTCCCACCTTGGATATCAGATGAGCAAATTGAGCAGGATGCTGGGGCTTGGTCAGCAAGCTGTTGTGCACTAGGAACTGGAAAAGTGAGAAGACATCATTGAGTGATTTGATAATGAAGAGTGAATGTTGAGAACTCCCACCTTGGATATCAGATGAGCAAATTGAGCAGGATGCATGGGCTTGGTCAGCAAGCTGTTGTGCACTAGGAACTGGAAAAGTGAGAAGACATCATTGAGTGATTTGATCATGAACAATGTGGCAGTCATTTTCTATATGCTTTGTACGTTCATGAAAAATAGGGTTGGCTGCAATGTGGAGAGCAACTTGGTTGTCACAGAAAAGATGAGCTGTAGGTGAATGAGATACCTGCAAAACAGTCAGCAAAGAAAAAGCCATAACAGTTCACAGGTGACATTTGCCATGGAACGATATTCAGCTTCAACTGAGGATTGCGCAACAGTTGTTTATTTCTTGAATTTCCAGGAAATCAGAGTGTCCAAGAAACACACAAAAACCAGAAACAGACCTACGACTATCTGAGCATGAAGCCCAATCTGATTCACAAAAAGCATGGAGTTGAAAAGAAGACTTTGAGGGGGAAAAACAAACCCTGACCAGTGGTAGACTTCAGATAACCAAGAATGCGTTGAGCAACTTGGAGATGAGGTTATCAAGGGGCTGACATGATTTGACTTAAATGATTGACAACAAAACAAATATCTGGTCTTGTAATAGTTAGATAAAGCAAACGACCAATTAATCTGAGATATGCAATGGATCTTCTAAGAGAGAACCAGTAGTGGCAGATAAATGTAGGTTTGGTTCCCTAAGAGTGGAACGAGGTTTGCAGCCAATGAAACCAGAATCTTGAAGAAGGGATATAGTATACTATCGTTGATACAAATAAATCCATGTAGATGATCTTACAAACTTAAGACCCAAAAAATATTTTAGAGAGCCCAGGTTTTTTAATTTAAAGGTGTTGTCCATAGTGGCAGTGAGTTGCTGCACATGATCAAAATTGTTGAAAGTAACAATTATGTCATAAACATAGACCAAGATAGCCATAAATGAATCAGATACATTGCGGATAAACAAAGAATGATCCATGTGTGTTTGAGAAAAAACAAGAGAAAGAAGAATGGAGGAAAACTTGGAAAACCATTGGCGTGAAGCCCATAAATTGATTTTATTAAGCGGCAAACAACATTGGGGGGCAAAGGCTCCCCCTGTGGAGTATATCCGAGAGGGAAACATATAAACCTCTTCATTTAAATCCCCATGAAGAAATGCACTATTGACATCTAATTTAACTAGATGCCAATCATGGAGGTAGCAAGAGCAAGCAGCACACGAACAATAGTTATTTTAGCTACGGGAGGAAAGGTCTCTATGAAATCAATGCCCTTCTGCTATGTATAACTTTGAGCAACCAAGTCAGTATTGTATCTTTCAAGGGAACCATCATAACGAAGCTTGACAAGGTACACTCATTTACAACCAACAGGGTGCTTACCGGCAGGTAAAGAAATAATCTTTCAGGTGCAATTCTGTTCCAAAGCATTGAGCTCAGTAGCCATGTAAGCATGCCACTCAGGGAGTTGGGAAGCTTCAGAAAACGATGGAGGTTCATAATGCGTAGAAATGACATTGATAAAAGCCTTGTGTGATGTGGAGAGGTGATCATAAGAAATATGGGAGGAAATAGGGTGCTGAGTAAAGAAATGACAAACATAGTCTTTCAAGTGGGGAGGAGGATTTCTAACATGGCTTAAGGGAGGTGAGAAGGGAGCTGCAGTGGTGAGTGAGGGAGAGGGAATAGAAGTGAGAGAAGAATTAAAAAGAGACAAATTGGCAAAGGAAAAATCTGTTTCATGAAAGATGACATCATGTGAAATGAAAATATGATTCGATTCTATATCAAGAAGCTTGTAGGCTTTATAACCAGGGGGATGGCCAATGAAGACACAAGACGAACATTTGTGACGGTTCCTAGAAAGAGTTGAGCTAAAACAGAAGCAACCAAAGACTCGAAGATGACAGTAATTTGGAGCCTTGTGATAGAGAAGTTCAAAAGGAGTCTTACCTTCCAAGAGAGGAGAAGGAGTTCTGTTGATGAAATAGACAATAGTGAAGACAGATTTCGACCAATAAGCAAGAGGAAGATTGGATTGGAATGGAGAGCACGACCAACGTTTAAAATGTGTTGATGCTTGCGCTCAACAACAGAATTCTGTTGGGGATAATCTACACAGGAATGAAACACTTGGATGCCTTTGTCCGAGAAAAAATAAGTCAAACTCAATTCTAGAGCATTGTCACAGCAGATGGCCTTAATAGAAGAATTGTATTGATTGAACATGAGATTAAAAAAAATGGGGGAAATCAGTAGCAAAATCAGATTTCTGATGAAGAAGATACACCCAAGTGAAACTGTTAGGCGGGTCCAGGGGAAGCTTGTGGCGGGGGACCACCACCAATGAGCCAAGTTACTCCAAGTACATCAAGTGGGTCCGACACCACATCTCAACCCAAAACCTTAAGGCGTTGGGTTCATGGGTCCCTTCCACTTATATACTCTTCACTTAGTTCATTACCAACCAATGTGGGACTCATCACACTTGAATATCCCAACAATCTCCCCTCAAGTGTGAAACCCACCATTGGTATGCTCCCCCTCAACTGAGTACTCCTGGCCCAAGTACTCAACCTGCCTCCTAGCCAATCACCAGGCTAGCTCGAGCCCAACCCGGTTCTGATACCACTTGTCAGGCGGGTCCAGGGGAAGCTCGTGGCGGGGGACCACCACCAATGAGCCAAGTTACTCCAAGTACATCAAGTGGATCTGACACCACATCTCAACCCAAAACCTTAAGGCATTGGGTTCATGGGTCCCTTCCACTTATATACTCTTCACTTAGCTCATTACCAACCAATGTGAGACTCATCACACTTGAATATCCCAACAATCTCCCCCTCAAGTGTGAAACCCACCATTGGTATGCTCCCCCTTAACTGAGTACTCCTGGCCCAAGTACTCAACCTGTCTCCTAGCCAATCACCAGGCTAGCTCGAGCCCAACCCGGTTCTGATACCACTTGTCAGGCGGGTCCAGGGGAAGCTCGTGGCGGGGGACCACCACCATTGAGCCAAGTTACTCCAAGTACATCAAGTGGGTCCGACACCACATCTCAACCCAAAATCTTAAGGCATTGGGTTCATGGGTCCCTTCCACTTATATACTCTTCACTTAGCTCATTACCAACCAATGTGGGACTCATCACACTTGAATATCCCAACAGAAACGAGTGGCATCATCAACAAGCGTAAAGAAATATTTTGAACCAGTAACAGACATAGGGGTAAATGTACCCCAAATGTCGCAATGGATCAAATCAAATGCATGAGAAGACATCCGAGGGTTCAAAATAAAAAGCAAATTCCTTTGCTTAGCCAAAGGGCAAACAACACAAGGAGAATCAACATGAGAAGAATCATTAAAGTGTAAAATATTTTTTATTGATTTTAAAACAGAAAAAGACAGATGCCTTAAATGGGAATGCCACAGTACATAATCAACCACAGAAGCAACAAACATATGGGGATGGGGAACATGCTCAAAGGGGAAAGGAACATCAGTGCTGAAAACATAAAGGTTGCCAAAGCGATTAGCAATCCCAATCAGCTTGCTTGTGATTCAATCCTGAAGGTGATAAAAAAAATGAGAGAAGTGAGCAATAATAGGGAAGTCGCGAGTTGGGGCACCAACAAGCAAGAGATTAAAATAAAATGAAGGGACATGTAATACATCAACCAGAATAATAGAAGGAAGAAAAGGAACAAGACCCATAAAAGAAACTAGGATAGAAAGACCATTTGGAAGACAAATAGAAGAAGAGGAAGAAGAACGAGTATAAGAGAAAACTTGAGAGAAGCAAGAAACGTGGTGCGTAGCACCAGTATCAAGAACCCAACAAGAAGAAGGAAGAAAAGAAGAAGACTCACCACTGAAGCTCGTGATGGACGGCGGCAAAGAAGCGGCAGATGAAGTGGAAATCGACAGCTTGCTCGTCAGAAGGTTTAGAAGTTGGGTATACTAATTAGGAGTAAAGGGTGATGGGTTAGGCTCATTTGGTGAATGAGAAACAGAAGAGAGGGCCGCATGATATTGGGCCTAGGTTAAGTTGAAGTTGGGCTTTGGTTTGTCCCAGGGGTAAAGCCATGGAGTTTGAAGCAGTGCTCCCTAGTGTGGCCATGTGTCTGACAATGGGTGCAGAAGGGAAGGGAATGGCGAGGAGCGGCGGCAGCAGCAGCCATGGAAGCTGCAGACGGTGGCGTGGAAGCAGAATCAATCGAAGCAGCTACGGAGACCAACAATGGTGTGTCAGGTGCAATAGGAAATGAATTAGATTTTTGGTGCTGACGTCCTTCTTGGAGAACTAGAGAAAACACACATGATAATGCTGGAAGAGGGGTCATCAATAGAATCTGTGCATGAATGGAGGCAAAAGATCATTAAGACCCATGAGGAATTGCATGGTCTGATCTTGCTGCACCGAATCAAGGACAGTACGTGAGGCACCACAAGTGCAAGCAGTCGGTGGTGAATAGTCATTTAGCTCATCCTAAAGGATATCCAATTTTGTATAATAAGAGTTGACATCCATGGAACCCTGATACAAATAAGAAATCTTAAGCTTCAACTGAAAAATTCGAGGGCCATTAGCTTGCAAGAAGCGATTGTGTATGTTATTCCAAATGTCATAAGTATTGGAAAAATACATGAGGCTATCTGCTATATCCTCAGAGACAGAGTTGAGTATCTATGAAATGACCATGGAACTGCAACGATTCCAGGGAGGAAAAAGAAAAGCAAAGGAATTGGGACGAATGATAGAGGAATCAACGAAACAAAGCTTATTTTTATCGATAAGGGCAATAGTCATGGCTCGGCTCCATGAATTGAAATTGGCTCCGGTAAAGGTATGGGCAACAAAGACAAGGCCGAGATTATCTCTGATATGGAGGAAATATGAACTCGAAGAGTCATCCATGGGAGGGGGGTAGCAGAGGATGAAGAAGAATTATTGTTAGAGCCTAGAGTCATGAAAGAAAGGATTAAAAATCATCTGATACCATATTACAAAGTGGGCAAAAATCTGAACTGAAAGATTCATTCATCATTACATTGCATCAGCCAAAGTACAGTGGTGAAATATCTACAAAGAAGAAAGCCTAAAAAAGGGACAAAACAGAATGCCGTTATAACAAACTTGGTGACCTAGCACTAAAGCTATGATCTGACACTAAAAACTAATACTTACATAAAGAATAAAATGAAGAAAAAAATAGTGTGAGAATGTGTGCATTTTTTAACATCATCTTCCTTCAATTTTCTCTTTTGGGACAGCAACTCTTTTTATGAACGTAGTATACGAAGGCATTTACTCTATTGCTTCCTCAAAAGGAATATATTTGAAATTTCTTGAAGACTTTCAAGAATCTAGCAAATTGCTTCTTTTGATTCTCCTTTTTCAACCTTTGAAGGAATTGATGACATCTCCTATCTTCACCCAAAAGTCCTTTTCTCCTTTATTTCTTGTATATTTAGGAAATAACACATCAGGGTACTCCACTGTCTAAGCAGTGGTTTATATGACTCGGTGCTATGCCACCACTTAAGCAATGATGGCTTTTGGGCACCTAGGCGGTGGTTGTCCAGAAAGTATGAAGATATCCCCCACTACACAATTGAGAAGGGGTGATATAAGGTTGATTTAGAGAGTTTTGTCAACATTTTGCTTAAGAAGAACATTGTTTTAGCCTGATTATTAGGTACATAATATAAAATCACCGTCAAAGAAATTTGCAGCAGTGTTGATAATACGTTTTATACCTTCAATTTCTCTCTATCTAGTGTTTAATTCCAATTAATAGCTTGTTACTTTTAGGTTGTGCGCCTTCTTGAGGGACAAAACGACCACTTCCGCTCTATTGGAGACCAAATTATACCAAAATATAATATGTGAAGAAAAGGTGGGGTTTGCATATGCTTAATACGCTGTGTTGCTTTTTGCATCTGTTGTAGGATCTTTGTTTTAGTTTCTCCCATTTTTGGACTCTAGGGAGATTTTATAGGGCCTGAAAGATAACATATAGAAAAGCATATGGCAAACACGTTAGTTTGCCTATACATGCTATTGTTATGTCACACGTTGTAAAACTACAGTGATCTCGAAAGCATTTTCCTTTAAAATAGTCTATGTATGTGGAGTTGCAAGTAAAAAAGTTACAGTTTGAGGTGGAGCTTTCAAGTGATATATTTGATATTTATTTTATTGTATAATAAATTTATTCATAATTTATTTCGTGCAATAAAATATAATTCACTTGATTTGTATCTATTTGTTTAGAATTACACATAATATTTTTAATCACATACTTGACATTCTACTTGGAATCATCCATGCGTCAAATGTGTTCTATGTGATTGGAGTGTGATATAGACTGATGAGAAAAAGTATGCGGAATTGCAAAGCTGTGTATGTATAAGAATAATTTATTTTATCTTTTTTCACTAAATATGGGAAAGGGGAGGGAGGGGCCAAGGATAATAGAAGTGGTGAACTCTAGCTTCAATGGCATAATTGGAATGTTTTATTGACATAGCGATAGGAGCAAAGAAATGTCAAAAAAGAGGGGGATGTTAAAAGGATATGGTATTACATTTGGTTAATTAGAGTGCCATAACCAAATTGGAATATGGCATTATTTTTTTATTTATAAACACCGACACTGAGATTTAAAGCTATGATATCATGCAGATTATCCAAATTCTTCGTTATTAATTTTAGTGGCTTATCAATTACTAATTTTTAAAATTCAATATTGTTTAACATTTAATAAATGTTTTAATATATTTCATATTATTACATATAAATTAATTTTATGAACATCATCCGATATGATCATAAGATGGTTTGATTTATTGGTTAACCAATTGAATTGAAAATCTTGTCCGTTTAATATCCAGTTCGTTTTTAACATTACTCAACTGATCGAGTAATTAGTTTTCATCATCAACACTGCAATGTGCATGATTATTGACCTTGTACGATAATAGAAGATATGACTGTACATCGAGTACAAAAAACATTGAAAACCCAAGTATTGACTCTTTACCAGAAAAAGCTAACTGAGACGCGGCTACATTGTACTGGTATAGATATGAAATAGAAATACGACATGGCATAACATATCAATATATTAATTTTTAAAAACATTAAATTTTGATTTATTAGAATATGTTTTGATATTAAATAATTTTATTTATATTTAATACATATAACAACTCATAATAAATTATATAATTATATGAAAAGATAAGTTTATATCCCTTAAAATATAAAGTCAAAAAGAGAGTTATTAATTAATCCACAATTAATAATCTTTGCAAATTTTAAAAACACCTAGGAGCTGCTACCCGATTGAGTGAAGGTGGCATTACTCATCTTCAACAAGCATTGGATAACAGCTCAATTTTAATAACAAAAAAGAAACTAAGGATACCTCATTTTTTAGCATCCAATGGAGGAGGATAAGGCCCAATAATAAATAAATATAATGTTTTGTTTTCTTTCTTCAATTTTTTGTTTTTTTTTTTTTTTTTTCACTTCTTCTGTTTCTTTCATTCAATTTAAAGGTTGATGATGGCGGTGGCACGTGCCTCAGACGGCGAAGGTGTTTGAGGAGCGCTGTAGTACGACAATGTCACCATCGTCTTTGTCGTCAATCAATAGGATCAATGATGTGTCATCGGAGAAATCAATGGTTGATGACGAAAGTCAAGAAAACGAGACTAAGAGTGCCTACAATGGACCGTTGCATGCCATGGAAACCTTGGAAGAGGTTCTTCCCGTCAATACATAGATTTTCATTTTATAAAAATTTCAAAAATATTATATTTTTATCCCTTGATTATGTCTGACATGGTCAAAATCCTGTGTACAGATAATTAATGTGTCCCAAAATATTAACCGCGTGTCAGAATGTGTCGGTGCATGTCAGTATCCGACGCATGTGTCCGAAACATATTTTTTTCTGAAAAAGAACATATCGGTGTATCATAGGCGGCTAGTATATGTTGCGACTTGCTAGTAATATAAATTGAAATTGAATTAAAATTAGCAATATATTATTATAAAAATTTATATTTCTTCAAATTACTTTTAATAACATTCAAGCCTTGTTAAGTAAATAAAGAGTTATTTTTTTTTTTTTTTTTTGATAACAAAAGAGTTATTTTATTTGTTTACATCTTATAAACTCACTGATTTTTTTTTTATTCCATGATACTATCTTTTTTTTGGGACAAGTCAGGTCTCCGGGTTATCTTCATTTCTATAAGGAGAAAGGGCCTGCAACCTAGAGTTGAATAACATGACAACTATCTGTCTAGGATTTAAATCCTTGCTCTTTTAGCAATTCATCCATTCTGAAGCTCATATTATCATTTCTGAAATTTTAATTAGGTTTTTATAGTTCAGAATAGAGTTTTTCCATTCTTAACATCAACACATTGATATTGGAATAATTTTTTTCCTTTTTTTTATGTCTTAATTCTACGATCTGAACGAGTCGCACAAACACCCATATACATGTTCCTCAGCACTGAGGGCATCCTTGAAGGGTGGGGGATTTCATGACATTTCAGATTGGCTATCTTGTGTTTATAATAAGTTGTTTCGATCAATCCTAACCCCTAATGATTATATTAGGAATTATTTATAAGTTTGTAAGAAATCCTTACTCTTATTTATTTTTTTCAATAATTGAGTAGGCGTTTTTGCATTTAAAATTGCTTTTTTTTGTGTTGATAAATTATAAATATCCTTTATCGGAGGCAATTCTGTTAAGGGCAGTCCAGGATTAAGGCTTTAAACTTCTTCCAAAGATGATACTGGAGAGAATCAAACATATACTCTTATCCTCACCTGCTCAGTTCTCATATGCCAATTGAACTATTATTATTTGGCTGCATTTAAAATTGCTTAACTTTTGTTGGTCTGGCACTAACCTTTTCCAAGGATATTTAGTATAGGAAAAGTTTTTGTCATTTTAATTGACACAACTTATGTCATTTCATTCTCACAAAAAGATGTGATCCAGGCCTTTATATTTTTTTGTCCACTCTCTCCTCCTTTATCTATCTCTTTCTCCCACTTAAAATGACACAACTTTACAATGATACACACTTTTCCCATTTAGTATTTGTTGATAAAGCACATATGATTGGAATTATCTTACTCAATTTTTTCGGATACTAGAGCCGATAACCAACTTGAAACCTAAAGCATTGTAATAAAAATGAAAATTAAAAAACACACAAAATGAAAGAGTGAATCATGTTAAAATATTTAAAAATTATCTTTATTGTATTTTAGAATATTTCAAAAATATCTTAAAATTTATTTTATATTTTTTATATTTCTTAATTTATTTTCTTATCTAACTAGAATCGATAATTTAATATTATTATAAGTAAGAAATAGTGATTATGGTCTTTTATAACACGTCTTATTACATTATATCCCCTCATTATTATACAAAATATTATTGAGAGTCTCAATTTTTTTTTTCGTTCTTAAATATTTATAATTTCAGCACATCCTTAAAAAATAATTGCATTACTGTTGCTAACTAGTCAATTAAAAAACAAGATGATTACTCAATGGATGTAGCTTAATTGGTAACACATGTTGAGTAGAGTATGGAGAGAATTTGTATTCGATTCACATCAAATATATCTTTCAAGAGAGGCGAAAAGCTAGTCTCATAGCCAGCTCAAAAAGTTGAAGCTACCGATAATATTCAGAGGGTCGACTCACCTTACAGAGATAATTAATTAAGGTCGGTATATATAAAAAAAATTCTATTATCTAGGCTTTCTCTGCAGAGTTATATTGCCAATTGACAAATAGATTACTAACTAGTGGACTAGAAAGTATTCCCAAAAGTGGGAGCAACGCAGAGAATGAGACATGTTTGCTTTATGTTATGCTCTTGAAAGTGTTGGGCCATAATTTAGCCTTCAAAAGGGTTGTACCAAATTGTTTCATTTGTCTCCTCAATATTTATTTCTTCGTTGTCAATCAATCGGATCTGTACAATTAAGATTAACAAAGTCCCTTAAAAATGAGGTACCATCTTCGTGGGCGAGAATTGTTATTCTTCGTGGGACTAATATGACGCGTATATAATTTATAAAGATCTATCTTGCCGAATCTTGATCCGAAAGACCAAAATCAAAAGAAGTGAGAAGAGAAGTCGGAGGTTAGCCACTCAATGCATGATGACTAAAATAATAGCTTGAAGTGAGTTGTTTATACACAATTCATTCGATTGTAATACATAAAATATATAAATTATTTCTACATTGCACAAGTTTGAATCAATGTGTATTTTTATATTTAAAGTCGTCAAAATTTTCATGAAGAGTATTACTTGTTGCTTTTACTCTTTTACTAAAAGTTTATTTGTCATTAATATATGAGAAGAGTCCAAAAATTTTAGGGTTAGAGTTTTTGTGTGCCCATATTAATGTTAATCATGGATCGTTAGAGTTATTAAGGTCAGAACACGAAAATTCTAGAGTGCCCACACATTTTTCCTCTTTTCCTTTGTTCTGCCCGTGGCAGAGATGTCTAACCAAAGGTTAGCTGGTTGGTAGTAAGTATATCCGTCCTATATATATATATATATATAGGGATAGGATATTGTGACACACAAATAATGTTACGCACAATGTTACGACCACATCTTAACCGTTGATTTCCGCCAATCAACGGTTATCATTTATTGCGAATTAATAATTAATTAATGAGTTTGATTTGAAAAATGATAACCGTTGATTGACGGAAATCAACGGTTAAGATGTGGTCGTAACATTGTGCGTAACATTATTTATGTGTCATAATATCTTATCTCATATATATATATATATATATATATATATATATATATATGGGAA